GGACATGAACTCATTGCTTTAACCCAGAAAACCACTTATGGCCCCAGTCACATGACAAAGTTGCCGTGGGAAAGGCACGGATGGTGGGCGCGATCACACCCCAACATCTGGGAAGTGGAGTGCACCGGTGGCTTACTGCCGACAATGCGCCTTAAAAAACTAGTACCTCCAAGGCACCTCCAAGGCCTCCAGACACCCGTGGTGTGATTGCGGCAGCGTGAAGCATTATATATATATATCTTAGAAACTGCTATCAACACAACCACAAAAAGAAGTAATTGTTTGTGATATGCAGTGTGTGAATAGTGCTGGCCAGTGTTCCAAGCCTCACAGAGAAAGCTTTAAGGAGGCAGAATATATTTATTTTGGAGATTTCAATGCCACCTCTTTGGAGTCCTGCAGCTTACAATTAAAATAATAAATTATCAATATATAGGGTTGCCAAGTGAATTTTACTCACCGGCGGGGGAGCCTCACCACGCTCCAGGAGGTGTCCCTCGCCGGGCGCGCGCATGCCGCCAGCACATCACCGGAAGTGATGCGCGACGTCAATCACATTGAGGTCGTGGCCCCGATCGTCGTAGGGAAAACCATAGAGTTTTCCCTCCGACAATCGGGGCCACACCCCCAACGTGATTGACGTGGTTGTGTCACCTCTGGTGATGCAGCCACGCTGCGCTTCGGGGGGCAGAGTTCCCCCCGGGGCCTGATTCCATGGCAGCGGAAATCGGGCCTCCAAAGCGGGGGGTTACCCGCCACCCGCCCCCACTTGGCAGCCCTATCAATATAGGAACAACAGGCCAATAAAACAAGCCATGGGATACAAACAGCATAAAACTAAGACTAGGAGCAGACCATTATGGAGCTAGAAAAATGAAACCCCTATTTAAAAGCCTGGGTAAAAATATCTGTTTTTTGCCTGGTGCCTAAAAGACACTAGAATAGGTGCTGGGCAAGCCTCAAGGGGGAGGGCATTCCAAAGTCACGGTGCCAGCACAGAAAATACACTGTCTTTGTTCACTACTCTGTTCACTACTCTGTTCACTACTGTTCACTACTTTGAGAGCCAGTTTGGTGTAGTGGCTAAGAAGAAGAAGAAGAGAAGAGATTGGATTTATACCCCGCCCTTCACTTGGAGTCTCAGAGCGGTTTACAAACTCCTTTCCCTTCCCCTCCCCACAACAGACACCCTGTGAGGTGGGTGGGGCTGAGAGAACTCTGACACAAACTGTTCTTTTTCAAGGACAGCTGTGCCAGAGCTTGTGACTGACCCAAGGTCACATCAGCAGGTGCAAGTGGAGGAGTGGGGAATCAAACCTGGTTCTCCCAGATTAGAGTCCGCGCACGTAACCACTACACCAGACTGGCTCTAATCTGCACGGACTCTAATCTGGGAGAACCGGGTTTGATTCCCCACTCCTCCACTTGCACCTGGCTGGATGACCTTGGGCAAGCCGTATCTCTGATAAGAGCAGTTCTTGAAAAAAGAGCAGTTTCTGTCAAGAGCTCTCTCAGCCCCACCTACCTCACAGGGTGTCTGTTGTGGGGAGGGGAAGGGAAAGGAGTTTGTAAGCCGCTCTGAGATTCCTTTGGGTAGTGAAGGGCGGGGTATAAATCCAATCTCTTCTCTTCTTCTTCTGCTCCTCTCACCTCTGAAGGTGGGAGCATAGACATCAGGTCCCCAGAACCACTAAGACAACTCCATCTGCCTCTCAAGCCCTGCTCTCTGTGCTCCCTGGACAAAAGTCCAGAATGAGACCCCAGAATCACTGCCAGTCCACCCCAATGGGTCCAAGCAAAGGAGGGCCTCACCCTGTGTGAGGTGGGTAGGAGCCACCCCTGCCATCAGCTACCCAAGCCCCAGACTGGGCAGGTGCAAGTGGCAACAGGAGCCCGCTTTTCTTCTTTTCCCTCTTCCTTTGTGGGGCAGGGATATGGAAAGTTGGGGATCCCCAAGTGCAGGGCCCAGGAAAGCTTTCCCTGATGTTGGTTGGCTAAGGTCACCGCTGGAGCCAGATCCTAACTGGCCAGCTGGAAAGTAGGGGAGGAGACGGTCCTTAAGGAACCCTGGTCCCAAGCCACTTAGGGCCTTTAGGGGAAGAAACAGCACTTTGAATAGTTACCCAAATCAGTACACGTGTCAGGTCCATAATGTGCAAAGCGTACTCTTCATGTGTTGGGTCACACTGTGTCATAGGGCTGCCAAGCCGCGGTGGGGGATCCGTGTGTCTTCACAGGATCCCTGCTGCGGGGGACAGCGATACGCGTTGCACCACCGTCGCCAGGATGTGATGCTACACGTCGCTCTGGCAACGGGACTCCAAACAGTCCCGTTGCCAGAGCGACGTGTAGCGTCACATCCTGGCAACAGCGGTGCAACGCGTATCGCTGTCCCCCGCGGCAGGGATCCTGTGAAGATGCACAGATCCCCCACCACGGCTTGGCAGCCCTACTGTGTCACCAGGGGAATTATTTTGGGGACCAGACAGTCTAGTGGATATTGGGGTCCTGATCTGATGCAGAACTCTAGTTAAGATAGAAAAATAAGACACACAGAGAAAAATAAGGCACACAAAGAGAATCTCAAATGGAACAATTTTTATGCCCCCAACAAGCTACAAAGCTAGAAAAATGAAATTCAAAGGAGACCCAAAACATAAAACGATGTTACAATAAAATAATGCAATCCTAGCCATGCTGCCTTTGGTTATTGCCTAAATGGGGGTGAATGGGGAGTTTAAGAGGAAATAAAGGGGAAAAGGAAAAACATACATTGCCTTGACCTGAAGAGTCTGTTGTGCTGAAGTCCAGGTCAGAAGCAGGAAAAGCTAGTCTGGGGCAAGGAATTCCCAGGGTGAAGAAAGAATCCAAAACTGAAATCATCTATACAGTTGGGGATCCAAGCAGGGGATCCAGTGGTTCAGCAAAGTGGGCAAAGGTTCGGGAAATAAGCCAACCACAACATTGGGAAGGGAGGCTCAAGTGTGGAACCAACTACAAAGCTGGAGGGAAGGCCAAGGATGCCATATTTATGGTTTTGGAAAGATGTGGTCAAGAAATGTAGGGGGGAGGGAAAGTCAAACTGTAGGTGGAAAACTGTCTACAACAAGATAACTAGGGTCAGGTGGTTGAATTACTGCAGTGATGGGCCAGCTTGAGGTTGTCGGACAATGCCTGAGACAGGGGCTTGAAGGCATTCCTTGGGTTTATGATCAAATGACCAAGGTAGGCTGTGTAGCAAAGAGTCTCAGGTTATTGACAGCAAACTTGAGTCAACTACTCTTGGCCGTGGTTGTGAGGGAACTTCTGGAGGCTTCAAACAAAACGTATTTAACCAATGTGCTCTTTGGAGCATTCTAGCAAGTGGGGTGTGAGAGTCCAGAACGATTCCTGTTACAAAAACTACATTCCTACATCCGGTTTCGTCTGTCCATCCAAATGTTGGGTAGTGTTTAGTGGTGTGGTTTTTTTAATCAGTAGGTATGTAGAGAAAGGCAGGGTAAATAAAATACATCATTACATTGTGCATCTTTTTTTGTTTTGTTATGTTTTTTCATTTTTAAACTTTAATAATCTATCTTTCCAGGGGAAAAAATACAATATTTACATATCAGAAAAGGGGAGAAAAAGGAGAGTCTTACTTATATCTCTCTAAACTCCAGAAAGATTTTTAAAAGATCTGGACAACAATGTACATTGTGTGTCGTTTTGTTTCACTCCAAATCAGTGGCTGCTATGGTGGCAGTGAAATGCATAGTGTGTTGACATCACAGCATGGGAAAGTGTGCCTAAACATTACAAGAGGCAAGGGGGTTGAACTTGATATTGCCGTTTTTGATACTGTATAGCTTTAGGCAGCATGGACATGGCTTTTTAAAAAATAAAACAAATAATTTATTGGCCTCTGTGAGGCATTTTGGTAATGCTGTTCACACACTATTTATTTATTTTTAATTATTTAAGTGCTCAGAGGTTAAGACGCTGAGCTGCAGACTGGAAGGTCAGTAGTTCGGCAGTTTGAGACCCTAGTGCCACATGACGGAGTGAGCTCCCATCTCTGGCCCCAGCTCCTGCCAACCTAGCAGTTCGAAAGCAAGAGATTGCAAGTAGATAATGCTTTGGTGGGAAGGTAACAGCATTCCATGCGCCTCGGCATTTAGTCATGCCGGCCACATGACCACGGAGAAGTCTTCCAACAGCACTGGCTCTTTGGCTTGGAAATGGAGATGAGCACCGTCCCCTAGAGTCAAATTCGACTGGCTTTTGAGCAAGGGAAACCTTTACCGTTACTAGTTATATCCTGCTTTTTTCCTCACAGAGACCTAAAGCAGCTTAAATAGAAAATGTGCTATATAAAAATACCAATATGGGTCCATCCTGATCTTATTGGCTGGCTTATCTGAAGACACAAGTTATGAGCAGTGTTCCCTCTAAGCTGAGTTAGTGTGAGCAAGCTCACAGTTTTTTAGCCTCTGGCTCACACATGTTTGTCTTAGCTCAGGAAGGATGGCTCCCCAGAGCAAACTAATAAATGCAGTAGCCAAATCACTCACTCACAACTTTAATACCAGTAGCTCACGAAGTAGAAATTTTGCTCCCAGGACTCCAAAGCTTGGAGGGAACATTGGTTATGAGGTAAGGGCTAAAGGCCAGAGAGCTCTTGGTCCTTTCACTTGTGCTCCCAGCCATGCCCAAGTTTTATAGAATACCTGACGCAAGAAGGGGAAGGCCAGTTTGCAGCTAAGATGCGAAACAGCTGGCCAAAGAGGTTCTTTGTGTCCCCTGTTGTTTAAACGACAGCTCCACAAAAGAGGTGAGCCCAAGATACCTTCTGTTTCCCATTTACAAGAAGGAAGACAGCACAAGTAGCTCCTATGAAACTCTGTCACTTCCTGTGATTTTAAAATCATGGTGGCAGCACTAGCAATCCTTAATAAAATGAAATAAAAAGCTATGTGAAACACATTTAATTACTTTTTCATTTTTTGGTTTATTCCCAGGACTATACGCTTACCATGTATTTCCAACAGTCCTGGAGGGATAAAAGATTATCGTATTCTGGAATACCTTTGAATCTGACTTTAGATAACAGAGTGGCTGACTATCTCTGGGTACCAGATACGTACTTCCTGAATGACAAGAAATCCTTCGTTCATGGAGTTACAGTGAAAAATCGAATGATTCGGCTTCATCCAGATGGAACAGTTCTTTATGGATTACGGTATGTATATTTAATCTTATGTTGCAACTAATTGGAATAAGTTTCCACATGAAAGCTGAGACACTGGATAAATCATCACAAAAATTATTTTCCCATAGTCTTTTCAGACAGAAACCCATCCCCTGCCCAGGCAATTTATTTATTAGTTTTCTTTGAACCAGCTGTGTGCCACACTCTCAACTGTAATTATTCCTAACGCCTCTAACAGCTTCTACAAAAAAATATAAACTATTACAAGGTATGCTGGTTTACCACAATAAAAATAAACAGGAAACAAACAGTAGCAGCCCACACTGAGAACTTTCTCAAAGGGTTAAAGGTCCAGTATACCTTGGGACATAGATGTAGCTGTGCCCCAATTTTTTCTGACTTCCTGCAGTCCTGCCCAAGGCTTTTTTTGTAGAAAAAGCCCAGCAGGAACTCATTAGCATAATAGGCCACACCCAATAGCAGAAACTCATTAGCATATTGAGCCACACCCCTGACTGCACCACTCATTAGCATATTAGGCCACACCCACATGTTACCAGAAGTATGGTCATCCAGCCACACCCACCTTTTGCTTCTTATTCTGTTCACCTTGTTTGTTGTCAAAACCCAGGGCTTTTTTTGTAGCAGGAACTCCTTTGCATGTTAGGCCACACACCCCTAATGTAGCCAATCCTAATGAGTTTCTGCTGTTGGGTGTGGCCTATTATGCTAATGAGTTCCTGCTGGGCGTGGCCAACTTAGGAGCCAGCCGGAACTCCGTTCCTGTGCGTTCCTGCCCAAAAATAGCCCTGGTCCTGCCTAACAAAATAGATTTCCCTGTTTCACACCAGAAAGCCCAACTGCCAATGATTCCTAAAAGGGCACTGAAAGTACATTATCTAGCATGTGTGAAAGCAGCGTTATTAAGCATACCTTTTTGCATGGGATGAGATGGCTGAGTGTATTTGCTACCTGGTGTCAGCTTTATGATGTGGCATAGCCACTTTGGAGGGGAGTTAATTTTGTGTGGCAGAATTCATGCTCCCAGGTCTTAGGCCACAGTCTGGAAAAAGAGAAAAGGGAACGGAGAAAGTGGCCATCCTGGCCTGTTTTTCAGCTACCGCAAACACCAGCCTTGCAAACAAGCGCATCAAAAATTAACTCCCTCCCCCCAGATTTCAACAGGCTTGCCAGCCCAAGTTACCTTCATTGGTCTTCCGTGGCATGTAATCTAGCCTGAGAGAGCCACTGTGCTCCAGTCTACAAAAGCTTCTCTGCTCTGTTGCCTGGAAATTAATCACACTACGGATGGATGCTCCCTGCCTTGTTTCAGTCATATTTATTGTTGTTAAAACATAAAAACCCTGTCATGAAAACCTAACAGAATAATAAGATCGAGGCAACATATGGCGTCACATTAGGTACAAAAGGTATTTTAGAGACTCGCATTTTGTTTTTATTTGTCTGGCTAATTTTTGCCATATTGCGTGGATGTTTCGAGCATATATTAGCTCACTTCGGCATGTCTGGATTTCCTTTTTTTTTAATTTTAATCTTAGTCTTCAGTGTTTATTTGCAGCAATCACAGATGTTTTGCATAAATGCCAAACTGACACTCTCCAGCATTTCTTCAGAGGAGGAACATACTTAGGACACTCTCAAATAAAAATATTTTGCTTCCCCCCCCCCCCGGACTTTATTCCAGTTTAGCCCATAGCTGAAGGCTCATTTCTCCCTGCAGCCTGCTGGGTGCCTCTTACCCACTGAAATAAACCCAGCATCCCACACAAGATGCAGAATAATACGCCTTCTGATCATGACCTAACCCCCCCCCCTTTGTTTCTTGGCATCCAACCCGATGAAGAGTTCTAGAAAGCTCAAACCTTGCACAATGTGTTGTGATGTTTGGATTGGGCATAATAGAAGGTTGTGCATGACTCTGTTCTTACAATGTTTTTTTCTCCCGACCTTGATCTTATTTTTTTTTTAAAAGGTACGTGCATCCTGAACACAGTAAGGGCATTTCCAAAGCAGTAAATCTGCTGCATTTAAGATGTTTCAAAGAGAATACAATGCTCCATTTTTCCCCCCAGAACTGTCTAGAGATTATACGCAGTTCTCAGAAAGTATATGAGTCACGTTGGACGAACCCTGTTTAGCTTTAAAGGGAAGGTTAGAGGCCTCCCTGTTATAACAACTAACCCATCAAGTTGCAAGAAAAGGTTTCATAACTTGTCTCCCAGAGCTGCCTGCAGATGGTCTCCGATGTTTCCATCTGATGCTTTGAGATTCACGAACACCACAAGCTGTGTTCTCCCTCCCCTCTCCCTCTTGGGAAAAGACAAAGAGGAATTTCAGACAGGCGATATCTCCCGGTAGGGAACCGGTTCTCAAACGGGTTCTGGTCTGTCATTTCAGACAGAACCCGTTTGAGAATCGGTTCCCTACTGGAATGTATTTGCCATTTCATACACAAAAGCTTCTGTTCCGTTTAGGAACCGGGAATGAAGCGTTTTACCTGTCAACCGCTTCCGAGTAGTCTTCGGTTCCCTCTCCCGATTCTGTTATGCTTTTTTCCCACCGTTTTTCGCCCGCGCGGGCTTTTTTTTTTTTTTAACGTTCGATTTATAGCGCTATAACACTATAACCGAATAGCATTATATCAACCCCATTGGAATGCCTGGGGTGTTTCATTATAGTGCTATAGCGCTATAGCACTATAAAGTGAACGTTCACAAAAAAAGCCGCAGATCACCCGCACGGGCAAAAGATGGCAGGGAAAAAGCGGTGCAGTCTGAAATGCCAAACCGCTTCTAATCTGGCTCATTTCCGCTAGGGGCAAGCCATGTATAAAATGACAGCCCTGTACCGGTTCACTTCAAAACGGATGATTACCGGCTTGAAACCGGATGAAACTGGGTAATGTGAAATTCCCCAAAGTTTCCAAAAAGGCTGGATGTGCGGCTCTGAGAGTTCATCTGTCAGACTCGGGCTAAGTTATGGTAGTGCTGGTCAATGTATTGCAATTGCTGACTCTATGTCTCCCTGTCTCCCCTCATCCCTCGCTGACATTCCTATGGGTGGGGGAAGGTGTGAATGCAGATGTGTGAATGGGGGAGTAGAATAGGCACCCAGGCTTTGTAACTATGAGGAATTTCACATTACCCTTTTAAAGCCGATTTGAAGCCGTTTTTGATCTGTCGTGGAGTAAACCAGTATAGGGCTGCCATTTCACACATGGCTTTCCCCTAGCGGTAAAGAGCTGGATCTGAAGCGGTTTGCCATTTCAGACTGCACTGCTTTTTCCCACTTTTTCCTGCTGTTTTTCACCCATGCGGGTGATCTCCGGCTTTTTTAAAAAACGTTTGCTTTAGAGCGCTATAGCACTATAACACACTCCAGGCATTCCAATGGGGTTGCTATAATGCTGTTTTGCTGTTGTGTCATAGCACAATAGCGCTCTAAACCAAACGTTTAAAAAAAAGCCGGAGATTGCCCGTGCAGGTGAAAAACGGCAGGGGGAAAGCGTTTCAGATCCGGGAGAAGAAACTGAAGACTACTTGGAAGTGGTTTACAGGTAAAATGGTTCAGCCCCGTTTCCTGAATGGGACAGAAGTGTTTGTGTGTGAAAGTACAAATATATTATGGCAGGGAACCGGTTCTAAAACAGTTCTGTCTGAAATGTCAGACCAGAAACCATTTGGGAACCATTCCTGAACTGGAATATATCGCCTGTCTGAAATTCCTCATCTTTCTCATAACAAGTGTGCCTCTAGGAGGGCCTGCGCTCAGCAGGACGGCCTTGAAGTCTTTAGATAACAACTTTCACAGGCCTATCCCCATAGATTTAACTGTGAGACAAAGTGGGGGGGTGAATGACGTACCTATGGAATGTTTCTTTTGACTATAACTGGAGTTACTTTCAATTTCTGCTTTAGTCTTAGCAAGGAGTTATCCTTGCCAACATCCAAATCTCTTTTCCTAAATAAACCTTTTATTATAAAGAGTTGTGGACTGAGAGTGGAGTTACTGGGATCCTGACATCGTCAGCTCGTAGGGTTGCCAGGTCCCCCAGCCACTGGCAGGGGTAGGGTTTGCCAGATCCAGGTTGGGAAACTCCCAGAAATTTGGGGATGGAGCTTGGGGGTGACAGGGATCTCGGTGGGGTGCAGTGTCATACAGTCCACCCTTCAAAGCATCCATTTTCTCCAGGGGAACTCATCTCCATTGTCTGGAGATAAACTGTAATGCCAGGGGATCCCCAGGTCCCGCCTGGAGGCTGGCATCCCTAGCGCCAACAGACAGCACCCTAATGTGCTGCTGACATCAGTTGCATCATGACCGGCAGTGCAGTCAGCTGATCACTTAGCAAATGCTAGCCCATCCTCAGCAACATCAGCAGAACGAATGTCAAAATGTCTACCAAGGAAGGCATTGGTGTCCCAGCAAAGGAAGGATGGTGGGGTGAAACAAGGCCAGACACACTGGGAGCAAGCTGAGCTCTGGCAGTACTTCCCATACCTCAGGGGTTCACATCTGTCTTTTGGGTGGGAGACCCATCCCTGCCTGCTGTTTTTTGCTGAACAAAATGGGCTGATCTGCTGCTGTTTATGGACCCAGACCTGACCTCTGATTTGATGCTGGACTGCAGATGTCTCCATGTGAAAAACGGAAGGATCTGTCCTTCCTTTTGGTATTTTTAACACAGTGATGCCTCAATCTGTTGGATATGTGATTTATAGTAGAGCCAGTAAATTCAGATGTGAGCAGATTAGGCGATGTGTTTCCATGCTCTGCTTCTGAAGGTCACGAGGAAACACAGGCACCTTGGCTGTAGATTTTTGTACAGCCACAAGTTGTTGGATGTGACATTTTTATGGTACAATCTTTGGGCACAGGTGCCAGCTCTCTTTTTATACCAGTGATTTGAGATGTCCAGCTTTGAAGATCTATGTCAAAAATGGAATTATAAATATTCACACATCAGACTGAGATTCTCACACCGCAACAGCAGTGCTGTGATGCGTGGG